TGGCGAGCCTTCACTGGCAGAAAAACAACAACAAGCGTAACATGCAAAAATCAAAAAGCGAAAGATTGTTTTTAATAAAAATATTTGAATATTGAATCATCATTGAATTAATTGCGTCGCCATTTTTCATAGCATTTTTTAATAGCCAAAAAATTGGAGAAGAAAACACAGCAATAAAGGCAGGCATTAATGCTATTAGAAATGATAAAATATGCGAGAAAGCAATATTTAAAATATTTAGCAATCATATTCTTAAAAAATGGAGATGGGTTCAAGTTTTTATTTATTGAAATTTATTTTAAAAATTAAAAAAATACAAATTTTAATTATTAGTTATAATTAATCTATTACTAACAGTTATTTTTTTGCATAAATTTTTATAATGCATATGAATATCATTTATATTTTATAATTTCAACAATTTTTATAATTTTTTTTCTATTTTGATTTTTTACAGCCGAAGTCAAAATGCCCAGCGGTAAAGTTGACAAACCTGTCATTCAAGACAATCGTGATGGTACAGTGTCAATCAAATATGAACCCAAGGAGGAGGGCACACACGAGCTGGTCGTGAAATACAATGGCGAACCCGTACAAGGTAATTAAAAGTATTTATTTATATTTCTGATAAGACCACTGTTAGGTAATGAAATAAAATACTTTTTAATAATTGATTGGCTATCTACTGCTATTAGCGACGAGTTTTCAAATACAATACTTAAAAAAACATGTTAAAACATTGACCTCAGTTGTTAACGTTACCCAGAATACCCTTAACAAATAAAGAAGTTTCCATACACGAACTTGGCTTTGATCGTTCTGTTTGTATGGCAGCTATATAATATAGTGGTCCGATATTAGCGGTGCCGACAAATGAGTAGCTTCTTGGAAAAAGTAAGAAAATATCTAAAATTTCAGATCGATATTTCACAAATTCAGGGACTATCTTTTACACATATTTTTTATAGGGTCTCCATCGTTTGTTTCTAAGTGTTACAAACTATTCAGCAAACTTAATATACCCTGTTTATGAATAAAAATTAAATCATAGTTATATGTATTAGGGTGGACGAAAAAAAAATTTTTTTTTTGCTTAGCCTGGGGGGTAAAATCTGTACATTATAAAAAAAGACAATTTTTGGACAAAAAAAAATTTTTTTTAACATCTAGAGGCGCACTCAGATTTAAAGTAAATTTCTCCCACACAATCCATTTCCAGGTTCCCCTTTCAAATTCCACGTTGATTCCATCACATCTGGTTACGTGACTGCCTACGGACCAGGTCTGACCCATGGTGTTACCGGTGAGCCCGCTAACTTTACCATTTCAACGAAGGGCGCCAGCGCTGGTGGACTCACCATGGCAGTGGAGGGACCCAGCAAGGCTGATGTAAGTATACACAACAACAAATCAAAACTAAGCCGTTATTTTTGTCAAACTCTACATGCATATAGTAGTTATTAACAAAATAATATTCACCTCCACCACAGATCAACTACCACGACAACAAAGACGGTACTGTGTCGGTGCAATATCTGCCCACTGCCCCTGGTGAATATCAAATCTCCGTACGTTTTGGTGACAAACATATCAAGGGTTCGCCGTACTTTGCCAAAATCACCGGTGAAGGTCGCAAACGTAATCAAATTTCGGTCGGTTCCTGTTCGGAGGTCACCATGCCCGGTGAGATTACCGATGATGATTTGCGCGCTTTAAACGCTTCCATACAAGCGCCAAGTGGTTTGGAAGAACCGTGCTTCCTTAAACGTATGCCTACCGGTAATATTGGTATCTCGTTTACACCGCGTGAGATCGGTGTGCATATGGTGTCGGTGAAGCGCATGGGCACACATATTGCCAACTCGCCATTCAAGGTCGATGTTTGCGAACGCGAGGTTGGCGATGCAAAGAAAGTTAAAGTTTCCGGTACCGGTTTGACGGAGGGTAAAACACACATCGATAATGTTTTCTCCGTGGATACACGCAACGCCGGTTATGGTGGTTTATCCGTATCAATTGAGGGTCCTAGCAAAGCGGAAATCCAATGTACCGATAAAGATGATGGTACCCTAAATATTTCATACATGCCCACGGAGCCAGGCTACTATATTGTAAATCTGAAATTCGCCGATCATCACGTCGAAGGCTCACCGTTCACTGTAAAGGTAACTGGTGAGGGCAGCAATCGCAAACGTGAGAAGATCCAACGTGAACGCGATGCTGTACCGGTTACCGAGATCGGTAGCAAGTGCAAATTGACCTTTAAGATGCCCGGTATTACATCGTTCGATCTAATGGCCTGTGTAACTTCGCCAAGCAATGTGACTGAAGATGCCGAGATTCAAGAAGTAGAGGATGGACTCTATTCAGTGCATTTTATACCAAAAGAATTAGGCGTACACACCGTTTCCGTGCGCTACAAGGACATGCACATCCCCGGCTCACCCTTCCAGTTCACAGTGGGTCCTTTACGCGACTCTGGCAGTCATTTGGTAAAGGCCGGCGGTTCGGGCTTGGAACGCGGTATCGTTGGCGAGCCAGCTGAATTCAATGTATGGACACGTGAAGCTGGTGGTGGCTCATTGGCCATCTCCGTGGAGGGTCCCAGCAAAGCTGAAATCGACTTTAAAGATCGCAAGGATGGTTCATGCGATGTCTCCTATAAGGTTGCCGAGCCCGGTGAATATCGTATCGGCTTGAAATTTAATGATCGCCACATACCCGACTCACCATTCAAAGTATACATTTCCCCCGACGCCGGTGATGCGCACAAATTAGAAGTGCAACAGTTCCCACAAGGTGAGCAGACAATAATAAAACTAAAAATTTTAAACAAAATATCTACCATATCTCACTTTTAATCTCAACAGGCAACATCCAAGCCGATGCTCCCTATCAATTCATGGTGCGTAAGAACGGTGCCAAGGGCACACTCGACGCTAAGATCGTTGCACCATCTGGCACCGACGACGATTGCTTCATCCAAAGCATCGACAGCGAAATGTATTCGGTACGTTTCTATCCACGTGAGAACGGCATTCATGCCATACACGTCAAGTTCAACGGCGTACACATACCCGGTTCACCATTCAGAATCAAGGTTGGCAAGGATGTGGCCGATCCAGCCGCCGTACACGCCACTGGCGCCGGTTTAGATGAAGTGAAGACTGGCCACAAAGCCGACTTTATTATTAACACCTGCAATGCCGGTGTCGGTACGCTAACCGTTTCGATTGACGGTCCCTCAAAGGTAGCCATGGACTGTACCGAAGTGGAGGAGGGCTACAAAGTGCGCTACACACCGCTGTTGCCGGGCGATCACTACATTTCAATCAAATACAATCACATGCATATTGTAGGCTCACCGTTTAAGGTGAACTGTGCCGGTGAGTACATTAACCAACAAGACGAAATGATACATGACGACTTCCCAAGAACACAATTTTTTACTTATTTTCAATTTTCTTTTTGTTAGGCGACAAACTGGCCGATGAGGGTGCACAAGAAACCTCCACCGTGTCTGTTGAGACGGTACAGAAGCTGGCCAAAGGCGGCAAGAACGTCGGCGTTCATATGCCCACCTTCAAATCGGACGCCTCCAAAATCACATCCAAGGGCATGGGCTTGAAGAAGGCTTATATGGGCAAACAGAACAACTTCACGGTGAACGCCACAGATGCCGGCAACAACATGCTCTTCGTGGGCATGTACGGTCCAAAAGGCCCATGCGAGGAATTCAATGTCAAACACACCGGCCGCAATAATTTCAACGTAAACTATATGGTGCGCGATCGCGGTCAATATATACTAATAGTCAAATGGGGCGAAGAACATATTCCCGGCTCCCCATTCCAAATCGATGTCTAGGCTAGATGATCAGTGTGTAAAAGTGCCTTACGAACGGTGCAATTATTATTATTATTATGATTTTTTTCTAATAGAAACATAAAACAGACGCACAAGTAAAAAGTGAAGAACAAAAAAAACAACATACCTTGCAGCGTTTGCGCGCATATATGTATGTATTGTATGTAGCAGCAAAGTCTAAAAGAAATTTATCATTTACCTATCATATATACATAGTAAAGCACATTATCAGCCGCTGGTAAAAAGGAATGAGTTAGACGAACTTTGTAGCACAAATTCAAATTTCAAAAAAGAAAGATCATTTCTACAATTTCTGTTTTTTGTTTTGTACTTTCATTGCGCTGTTGTATTGCCAATGGAAATCATTTATATTAAAGCATACATATGTATTTACTAAGTTAACTTGAATCTGCAAAAAGTCTATGTAAATAAAATTCGGACAATTCATAAATTAGACGAATTAAACCATAAAAAATATATATAAAAAAAAAAAATATAACGAGATATTGCCATTTTTGGATAGCGAATACATTTTGTTGTTGCCAAAAAATAAAAACTAAAAATTAAAATAAACTAAAACAAAATTAGCTGTCATTGAAATGTACACAGTGTTGCTGCTATGTGAAATTAAACGTAATAATTATAAATTTTACGTAACGTATGTCCTATTTCATTGCTTATTTATAATGAGAGTAATTGTTTTTTAAGATATTGATTTACATAAATGTTCGAGCTGAGTAAATACTTTTTATTATCCATTGAATAATATTATATTATTATTATTATTATTACTATTATTATGTACGTGTTGTTTTTTTATTTTATTTTCAACAAATCATTTGAATTAAAGGAAAATAAACTTGCAAATAATAATAAAAAAAAAATTTTATACTTTTACGTTTATTATTTTTGTAATGCACTGTTTCCTATTTCTCCACCTGAAATAATAGATGCATTCTTAATTTTATAATATACCTAATAATGTTATGGACATTGGCTAACTCTTAAAATACTCAACATAATGCATAATAAAAAGAATCGGTTCCATAAATTTCGTATAGCAAAACGACGGACCAGAAAGAGTTTATTGAAAAAATAAAATAAAAAAGTTGTCCATAAATGAACATGCTTTTGATGGTTCAGTTTGTATGACAGCTATATGTTATAGTGGTCCGAATTCGATTCTGACAAAGGAACAGCTTCTTGAGGAGAAAATGACGTGTGCAAAGTTTCAGATCAGTATCTCAAAAACTACTCGACAGACTGAGAGCCATGGTATTCAAAGCGTATGTATTTCTCTCTCGCTCTCTCTGTCAGCTTTTACGCCAACAAGTCTAACAAGTCAATCTGATTGTAGTAATTTGTTTAATTGTCCTTAAATCTGACGCTGCTATTTGAGTTAATCAGAGTTACATACAGATGTATGTATGTACATAAGTATATAAAGTATATACACAACTACATAGTTGAAAAAAATAATACAATTTTTTTTTTTGCGTATAGACACGCATTGTTCCAGCATAATATTATCAATAGTGCATTCTAATTAGATCGAATGTTTGCAAAAGTAAACGAACTCTAAATAAAAAAAAGCGGCATGAAAACAGCTGATTATTTGTTTACAGCTAAGAAATAGCTAAGATTTGTTTGGTGACAATTAACTACTAATTATTATAATGTGTTTTAAGTGATAAGAAATAAGCTTAAATGGACTGCAGTTGAGTCTAGTTTTGATTAATTTTTTGGTGTTCTTCAATAGGTGCCGCTGCAAGCATTCTTTGAATGCGAAGATGAGACGGCGGAAAGCTGCACGTGTGTTTATTTCGACTATGAAGAGTATGAAATATCGAGAGAGTGGAATTCCTGACTGGATTGAGTTCAAAATATCTGTTTTTATAGAAGCATAAGAGTCTAACGCTCCCACTATAAAATAAGGACAACAAGTAAGGAAAAGCTAAGTTCGAGTGTAACCGAACATTTTATACTCGCAATTTGAATTTGAAGCTCAAAGGTGGGGCAACACCTTCATTGTTCGACGAAATCGGGAATGAATTACAGTAAAATTTGTATCTTATAAACTTATATTATAGGTTAAAAACTAACTTAGTTTTATAACTATATTTTACTTCACGTCAGCGAAAATTATTATAAAATCATCTTCAAATGAGACATATCTGACATAAACTCAACAGAAAAGGCTAAATTTAATTTATTGAGTTAAGGGGTTACATGGGTTTCATCGAGCAAAAAAATTAAATAATTTGTTCAAACTTTTTATTATTCCGTAGATACATATTTGATAAAGATTTTATGAAACTTTCAAAGGAAAATATTCAAAACTCGGTCATAACGACGTCATCTCCGGCAGTCCCTCGGAAAAAAGGTGCTTCCACATTGACAGCAGGATTTCTTACAGGATTATCCGGAGTAAAAAAAAACAAAAATACGTATTAGAATTAAGACCAATAACTAGGTATGGGACGAAGGACAAAAAAAAAATGAAAAGTTTGGTGAAAAGTTCTTGACGTTTTTTGTTTCTTAATTGTTGTAATTGAACAAAAAAAAAACGCCATGTTCAATACCTTGCAAATTATAGCTTAAAGACCTGTGTAAAACTTCATTAAGATCGGTTGAGTAGTTCGCGAAAAATCTTGACAACTGTCTTTGAAAACACAGTTTCGAGAAAAACACGTTAAAAGTTTTAACTGATTATATAGCTGACCTTGAGCGCGCAACTTTTTAAAGCTTTATCTCCAAAACTATTGACTATATGACTAGGGCAATGTTCTAGAGATGTTATAGAATTAAATAAGACAATAAAAATAATAAAATAGTCGTGAAATCTATGTAACCCCTTTATGTGAATAATGCCAACCAGAAGATTAGAATTGAACAAGCAAATTTTGAATATAATACGAAAATCATTATATGTAGTATATGGGAGTCGAGGTAATTTGTATACCAATTTCATATATTTTCGTCTTTAAACTATAGTATATTCCATATTATACGTTCAGTTAATTTTGCTAAGATACTTTACATCATCTCACACATTGACCTATATTTTCGGTAAGAAGACAGCCATAGGCACTCAGGTCCACATGTTCGGTATCTGGGGGTTTGATAAGGACATAGTCCGATTTTTGACTTTAAATGTCATACCTTAAGAGCACTTTTTTCCGTAAAGTTTTCTTCCAATAACTTCATAGGTGCTTGATTTGTTAACTGTAAAATTAAGGAAATAGATGAAATTTAAAATTTTGTTGTATGGAATGTAGGCGTTGTAGAACATATTAATATAATGTAGTATATTTAAAGGTGGTGGTGCAATGCTCGTAGTATAAATGCTATTTATTTCTTGCGCTATTGCACTTTTAATAGTTTTTAACATAACAGTTATATGGATTGGGCGGGGTTATAATCCGTTTTCATCCATTTTAACACAATTTGTCCTGAGCAAATGTAGTGGAACTAATTACAATAGTTTATAAGATATGGTGATTAAGCTGGGTCCATGTCCACTTTTTAGAAATTTTCAGCGCGCAGGATCTTCTCACTACTGTGTTCCCTTGTTTCAAACACAGTTTTATAACTTAATTCGGTATTAATTTATAGCATTTTACAGGTTTTCGTTTAATACCTTTTTTTAGGCGTGGCAATGGTTCGGTTACGCCCATTTCCAACGCCAACCTTCCTTGGGCGCTAAGAAACATATGTAGCAAGTTTCCTCAAGGAAAGTATTGAGAGAAAATCACTAGGAATTCAACTCGTCTTGTCTTCCCCATCATTTAAATATATATAACTTAATATCTATCTCTATTAGTTTCAGATAATACAAACAACCGTTAGGAGAACAAAACTAATACACTCTCTCTCTGTAGCAACATGTTGCGAGAGTATAAAAACTCTACCGAGTACCGTTTGTAAAAACTTTGTTCAATATTCTTAACATTTCCTATCCCAGACAACCTGATAGCATTCCCAATTGTTTCACATTACTCTATGTTGCTGTAATAGGGTATTGTTTCGATATTTTAGGATCACTATTTTTAATCAATATTGGAATGAAATTGCAAATTAATTATTTGTAAGCGAGTAGCACTTTTAATACTTTCACACATTGAAAAGGCTAGAGTTTTTATGGCAAAAAAAGAAAACAATATTTTGAGTAAACGAAATTTAATATAAAAATGTGGTAAACTGACGTTAGACTACGTTGCCATCGTCCTGTTGTTCAGATTCATACAGTTCACCGCAACATCCAGCCTTTTGCAGTGGATCTTCATCGCTTTCTGAACTCGAAAGCTCGGTCTCAGGTGGACAATAATATATTGTGGAAGTTTTGGGGAATATAAGTCGCCCAATATGGTACTTAAAAAATCTGCGTGTATGCTTTTCTCCAACAACACTGCTCATAAGTTCTTTAGTTACTTTAAAATTGCCATCCATTGAAAGCGCTTTATGTTGCGGAGTATATAGCATTATTCGATTTGATTTTGCTTTTACAGCGCTTCGAAGTGTAGTAGTGGAAATGTTGGAACGATAGTCCATTGTTTTATTATTCTTCATGCTCCGCCTTTGTTTACGGCGTGGTTCGGTAACGGCATGACGCGCCACTACTTTAGAAGTTGCTTTGGAAGGTGTAACTTGTTCTTCTACATGCGGGGAGGATATAATTAACTCTCTACCAACTGCAGCACCAGGTCCTGCTGTTGAACTGAAAGCATTTTTAGATTGTGTCTTTATCTTAGGAGTTGCTTCTGAAGAACTTGTTGAACTTTCTTCAATAGCTGGCAGATGGCTAGTGGGTTTCTTACGCAAAGTATGCTGTTCATTTTCTATCCACGGCGATGCAGTAGTCGAGTACTCTAAATTTTCTTTTATAGCTGACACGCGGCTTGGGAGTTGCTTGCGAGCAGCAGCAGTATTAAGCGCAGTTGAATTGCAAATATTTTCCGAATAGAGAAGAAAAGTGTTCTCTTTCGCATCATCGGGTTTTGCATCGAATTTTTTCAAACAATTTTGTTTCTGTAAAGATTTGGATTGAGTTTTATTTTTTCTCTCTGCTTTCCTTGTTGTTTTAGCAGTTGACATGCATTCGTTTACTTCCTTATTTTTAAAACTTCTAGCTAACTTTAAAAAGTTCTTATTTGTGCATTCCGATGTTCTTGGTTGCGGTTTGGATGACTCGTATTCGTCGGCGTTTGGTTTGAGGCTTTTTAAAGATAGTGCTTTAGCTATTTTAATATCGTTTTCGAATGTTGTGTTATATTCTGAAGAACTTTTTTCATTTTTTTGTGATTTAGCGACACGTTTTGATTTGATTCGTTTTAAATTTTCTGTTTTTTTTGCGGTCAATTGTGATAATGCCTTCTCGGCAGCCCTGCGTTTAGTAGTGATCTTAGATGGTGCAGTATTGGGAATACTACTTTTTAAGGCTTTGGATTTTGTTGGAGTTTCGTACACATTTTCTATCATGGACATCAATCGATTTCTAATAATAAAAACATTTTTTGTAAATATATATATGTATATATATATATATTTTTTTGTAGAAAATAAGTCTTACCTTTTTTCTTTTTGTGGTAAACATTCTCCAAATTTTTCTTCGGATTTTCTCACGGTGTGCATATCTCGCTTCAATAAACGGTTATCTTGGATATCGGAAGCCGAACTAGAATTGTCCTCCCGTGTAACATAACGCTTTTTATGTTTATTTTCAGAAAAAAAAGTTGACTGTCCCTGTCGTTTGTCTATAATTTCTGGTGCTTCAGTGCTTAACATTTTCCAATATTTGGGAGAACTAATTGAATTTAATTGATATTTGCAACTGCAATTATGTAACCTGAGCGGTTTTGGTTCAACCGAAATTTCATGTTTGCAGCAAGATGTTTGATAATTTTTACACTTTTTGAAACACTGCTTATATTTAGGTTTTCGCATGTGGTGGCACTTCTGTACAGATCGTATATAACGATCGTCTTCACAAGACAATGATGAGTCAGTATCAGAAGTAGATTGCATCTCAGCTTTAGCAGTATGCTGTTGGCGCATCCATCCACCAACTTCTTTTATAATACGTACAGAATCGAATGTATTCATAACTTTTTCCAGACCGGATTTCTTTAATTTTAAGTCATGCTCCTTTAATATGGGACGTGTTGAATTTAAAATGTCTTGAATTTCCTCTGATTCCATTATAAAAGTAGTCTTTTCTTGCTCTGTTGATTGGTTCATTAGATTGTGATATTCGATATCCTCCAGATCTTTCACTTCCTCTGCTTCATCTGCATCATCATTGGAGGAATCGTCGTCAAATTGTTTATTAAGTGAATTCACATCGTAAACTTCTCCATCGTCACATTCAGCCATTTTCTACAATAACAAAAGCTCATATAATTTGGCACAAAAAGGTAGATGATATTACGCACTTCTAAAAAGCTGCTCCACCAGGTGCAACGTCGATACTCCAAATCTTGTAGCATATTTTCATTAATAATTAAACGATTCATTTTATGAATTAAATAGAAAATAGATTTTTTGAATTCTCCCTTGTTTTAATTTTCATAGAAAATTAAACTATGTCGGTACATTTCGAATTTATAAAATGATGCGCGCGAATAGAGATGCCACTATTTGGTATTTTGTTGTGTTATACTGTTATGAACTATTTATTATATAATACTTTGAATTATATTGCAATATTTTTAAGACTATGAGAAATTAATACAGCATCAATTCAAACACTCAAAATAAAACAACAAGTCGAAAATATTTTCGGGAAAAGTTTGATGTATGCTCTTGTATGAGTTCGTTCACGTCTCTTAGGATTATGCAATGTCATTTTACGCTTTGTCAAAAGAGTTAATTCTGACATACACTTTGCTTTCTTCGCGAAAGTCAAGCAAAGCGAGCAAAGTTTTAATTATCAGCCATAATTCTTGTAGGAAATTTTATTTGAATTAGAGTGAATGACAATATACGCATAAGAGAAATAATGTGAAACGATACGATAACTTTATCAAGGACATGTTGCCATACTATTTATCAAAAGAATATATAGGTTGTGCGTCAAACGGTTGAAAAATTAAAATTCTTACAGATAAAAATGAAATTTTTACGTATTTCGTGTTGAATCCGATTTTCAGAATTTTATTCATCTCCCGAGCTCGGTAAAATATTCACAACTTTTAAATATGAATACAGATATGCATTCAGGAATACGCGAATTTAAAAGAATTGCAGATATGCAGAACAAGTACGTTGTAAAATATGTTATATCTTTTTTTAGCTTTATTAATATTGTTATTATCAAGCAAAATATTTGCTTCTCATTAAAATAATTTTAGCAATATATTTAATATTTTAAATAACAAGCCTATCAAAATTTTACTTTCCATTTTGCACAGCAAAATGTATATTTTGCACAGCAAAATGTATATTTTGCACAGCAAAATGTATATTTTGCTTACACCATTGGAAAAATGTTACCGTTGGCACACTATGTACTACACGAAATACAGCTATTGTTTACCTTTTCTGTTTTATTTGGTAATGTTGGCAACTAGGGGTATTTGGGTTAGTGTATACAGTCAGCTGATTAATGCAATTGAAACGTGCAATTCCCAAATACGATGTTTAGTAGCAAATAAGCTTTTGAAAATATTATCAAAATTAATTTATAATTAATGACATCCTGAAAATATATTTTAAAAAGCTGCACAAAGTCATGTAAAATTAGAAATTTAACTGATAAGAATTGACATCAGTAAGGATTGTGTTTGCTTTTGGTCTTGAACTATTCATTTTTAGCACATATTATTTATTTATTTAAAGTAAAATAAAAAAAAAATATTTATTTTAGTTAATAATGTGGCACTTACGACGTTTTTTTACGCAATTCGCTGAAGAAATCAGCACACCTACCGATTTAATTAGCTGCTTGCAGCAAACGCCTCAAATGATACATAACAGTTTCGGCGGTTGTCGTAATCTCGATAGTTTAATATGGCTCCACAATGCGGCACCATGTTTTCCGCTTCGCGGGGAACAGATTCAAATAATTCATGAGCCCCACCACTTCTATGAAACGCTAGTACAACGTAGCGCGTCGGCACGAGACCGTATTGTCCTAGCCAGCCTGTATCTAGGTACAGGTCAATTGGAAAACGCTTTCGTACAAACATTACGCAGCAGCTTACAACAACAATCCTCACTGCATGTCAATGTATTATTGGATTTTACGCGTGGTACACGAGGTGAAGTCAACTCCAAAACGATGCTGTTACCGCTTTTACGTGATTTTGGCGACCAGATGAAATTATCACTCTATCACACACCAGATCTACGTGGTATGACGAAAAGGCTCGCGCCACCACGTTGGAATGAGCTACTCGGCCTGCAACACATGAAAGTTTATCTCTTCGATGACGCTGTTCTTATATCGGGCGCGAATTTGTCAAATGATTATTTCACAAATCGCCAAGATCGTTATATACTCATCGAGGATAAACCGCTTGCAGATTTTTATGCCCAGTTTATTGCGCGAGTACAGGAATTTAGTTTGGCTGTTAATAAAAATGCACAGGAAGAACTGCATAAAGATGGAAAAATTCTACCGTATGAAGGTGTAAAAGAAGAATTCATTATGCATGCAAAACAGCGTATATCTGATTTTATGAAGGATACCTATGTTCAGCAGCAGAAAATAGTGGAAGAACAAAAAGGTTTTTAAATAGTTTTTGCACATACGAACTTTGACGTAAAATATTTTATTTTTTATTACAATTAGGTGCTGATACGTGGATATTCCCGCTAGTTGAAATGGGTCAAATAGGCATTCACCACGACAGCCTAGTGACTAAGCAACTACTATCATCGCCAATTGAAGGTTCGCGACTAAAACTTGCCACTGGTTATTTTAATTTAACTCAGGAATATATGGATACCTTGGCTAGTAATTGTTTGGCTCAGTGCAGTATTCTGATGGCCCATCCTAATGTATGACCACCGTATAATTTCCAGTTGATATTCCATTTTTTATACTAATACCATTTATTTCTTTTTAAGGCAAACGGGTTTCAAGGCGCTAGTGGCCCAGCTGGTGCTATACCGGCGGCATATACCTTAATAGCAAAGAAGTTTTATGAAAACCTTGTGCAGTTGAAGCAAAATCACCGTGTGAACTTCTTCGAGTATGAAAAAGAAGGTTGGACCTATCATGCAAAAGGATTATGGTAAAAAATAAAATCAAAAAGTTCATGTGTAGAAATAATAACAAAAATATTTTAGGTATTATCTGCCAGGCACTTCGTTTCCTAACGCTACACTGATTGGCTCTTCAAATTTTGGCGAGCGATCTGTGAATCGAGATCTTGAAACACAGGTGTGCCTCGTTACCACAAACGGTGGATTGACTGAACGCTTACAAAGCGAAGCAGATCGACTCTTTAGTTCTTCAAGTACTGCTGAAAATGAAATTACCTCAAGACATGTACCTCATTGGGTACAAGCTGTAGTTAAAGTATTTAGAAATTTCTTTTAAGTAGAGGCTAAAGAAGTGTGAATTTTATATCCATCTTCAAATTAACAAAAAAATATTCCTTTTTTAATCATCTGTTTTTGACGCGAAGATTGCAAATCCGTGAGCGGGAAGTGAATATTTCCAATAACTTATGTATACTTTTATATAAAAATATATTTAACACACTTTGCACATATTTTTCAAGTAACTTAGTTTTTGTTTTGTTGTTGTAACAGCAGAATTCTGTAAAATTCAGATCACTTAGCTGTAATCACACGTTCAGCGAGTTACACACTTTTCTTCTGAAAAGAAATGCTGAAGAAATGTAACAGTCATAATTTCTTTTACGTCGCGATCTGATGGTGTGGACAAATAGAGGAAATCGTCGAATCGGCCGCGCCTTTAATAAAAAAAACCCTGTTCGGCCCAACACCGGTGTGTCCATAGTTCTTTTGTGTGCTAAAAAGAGTTCGATGCAAAAGGATTATTGGCACCCCGATTTTGGACCGAGGGTTATTTTTTTGAAGCGCGATCGAAGGCCGCCAGAAGGAGTTACCACGCGAAAGAACATGTGCGATGTGTGTAATTTTTTGTAAAAGTTCATTTTTTTTAATTGAAAAATATATAGAATTATTGAAAAAACCAACTTCCGCTCAAGGATGTGTAATCTTCGCGCCAAAATAAGATGATTTAAAAAAAATATATTTTCAAGGTCTCCTACATTGGGGGACCTAAACTATACATTTACCCCTTCGATAAAATTTAAGAACATTAAGTTGCTTATTGAAAATTATACTAATTTGCTGTTGTAGAAGATTACAGTTGTGAGCACAATGACTACGTATATTTTTACATTTTGAATTTTGTGCAAATTCATAATTAACATAGTAAATTGATAGATAGAATCGATAACTGTTAACTATCGACTTATCTGATTTTCGATAGATTCCTCCAATTGTAAAAGATTTGAAACAGTGAAAGTTAGTGCCGTTTCAGACAGGGACGCAAAAGAGTCTCAAACCAGTTTATTGTGGGCGAGGGGACGACGAGGAAAGACGAAGGGACCGTGCCACTCGTGTTCGGGTGGCACGCTTTGTGTTCTTGTTCGTAACAGCTCGCTGCTACCCTTTTCAGCATTCCTTTTCACTTTCAAATCCTTTGAATGGTTGCAAGAGCGCTCGGTTTCAAATGAATTCGATCGCAAATTTGAGTTCTGTTATCTATTTTTGTATGTAATATGCAAATACGTATGCATAGAATAATAGAAATATTATGACAAATTGTAAATAAGGAGAAAATTAAGATATAGATTATGGAGTAAAGAAATTATGAATTTTTAATATGGAGTAAAGAAATTATGAGTTTTTAATACTTAAAGATTAGGAAATTCCTATTATAAATTTGGCCTTGAAAATATTAGTTGCGGATATTCAATACATTCTTGTGGATTAGGGAATTCCCGTCTTTAGTATTTTTTTGAAACTATTTAGCGGGTAGGTACTTGTACTATGCATATTGTTCTACCATATTCATGGTAATTCATTGCAAGCAAAATGTGTGACCATCATCTCAACATACAAATGAAATACGCAGCACGCAGTGTTGCGCGGTGTTGCGCAGTCGAACCGCACAAATATTTACGAACATTTTGTGAAAAGGAATGCAGAAAAACTAGACTCGAGTTGCTGGACTCTTTTTGACCGTGTGAATGCCCAGAGCGACACCAAAAGAAAATTTGAAAAACATCCGACTCTTTTGCATCCCTGTCTGAAACGGCACTTACTAAACACAGCTGTGAAGCAGAGGTTGCCATTACTAGAGAAAACGTTTTGTAATTGTATAAGAAGGAAGGGAAATATATGTTGATTGAAATATTTTTAATATTGCTTGTTAAGTTTATATTTTTTATAAAATACCACGTAATAAAACTATTTTGCTGATAAAATACATTAATTTCAGCCCAAATCAAAATTTAAGACGGCAGTACTGGCTGCGAAGCAACGTAAAAGAAACTGATAAAATATCTAAGCAACGATGGCAAGATCAGCAATAGCGGCATTTCGCTAGTTTGTTTTGCATCGTTCAATTGGTTAGATTACCTTGTTTGTCGCAGTAGTGCGCGTATATTAAGTTGATGTCTGCGGGAATATTAAATACATCGCCTTTGAAAATATTATGTGGAATTCGATAGTATTTTTGCATATGAAACTTAAATAGTCCAATTTATGCAATTGTATAAAACAAGAGAATTAATTATGGTGAGTTAATAAATCCAATTGGAATTTTAGTTTAAAACGAAATAGGCTCAGTTAAAAAATGCAAGCAATAACGGTATAAACTAAAGAAGTTTGAAAATAGAAATAAGTTAAAAAGAAACTTATTGCAAAGTAGCATGTTGTGTGTATTATGGATTTTGAGCTTTATTGGCAATCAATTTTTCAACAACAATTAAGAAATTATAGTAACTGTGTTAGAGAAAATGCATATTTGCATTTTCATTATTTGTTTTTCAACTAAAAAGTATAAAAACATTAAAATGCAAATGATGATTCTTAGTTATAGTGATTGAAAAGAACCAAAGCAGTGCCATATGTACATACATATGAATATATATATGCAATATTTCACTCGTCCATACTGATTATATGGAATCCTTGTGATGAACTTATGTTCTACCAAAATACGCTACTAAACTATTTGTTTCTCATTTAGTATATAATTATAATTACTTCCGGATTTTTTATGTGAAAGTGTTTTGTAAAATGAACGTAATATACTCGTTAAATGGTAAAGGCAATATTAGTGATTTACCTTAAAAATGTAATATATGAATACATGAACGATGCAAAATTAAAAGTTCGCTTATTAATACTAGCATCAGAGCGGAATACTTGCTAATTAAATATAAACCTACCTGAAACATCTTCACACGTGTAAGAATTAAAATATATTTTAGATCAATTAAAAACAAAAACATATACCATAAACTTCTAAAATAAATTTTTGATGGAATAAGAAATGGGAATACAAATTATAACGAAACCAAATTGCTTTAAGACCACGGATTCCAATTTGTGTTAAATGACAATATTATTATGAAAGAAATATAATCGTAAAGCTACTCAAAGTACTGTTTTGTAAAAATTCTCTATAAATAATTAAATCACAGCTTACAGCAATAGCTTTCATGTACTCGTATTTAAGAAAGCAAAATATAATAGGTGTCCCTAATGACCATATTTGTGCATTCATTTAAATTAAGTTGTGTATAAATTGACAACGTACATGCATTACATGCACACATGTATGTTCATTCTTAAGTTTTACTTAATACCAGCATATTGTTCACATATGTGTGGATAAATACATTATGACTTTAGTGTGTAAATGGGCACTTGTTTGTATACTCCTAAACAGTATCGTGGAGGATATTGTTTTTTTTTCCGTGATGCATGTAAGAAAATGCCATAAAATGTGGAATTATAATGGTTCGAAGTTACTAAGGATATGTGTAAAATAATAAGCATCTTGTAACTAATCAGAACTCCACAAGCCTTTCGTTTTCAAAATAACATGCTGCTCAAGATCATATAACATCAAGACACAGTTCTCAAAATAGCATTTACATAGATACTTATTTGTATGCTTTATTATACATATTTAAATGCTACTACTGCTATTTTTTTATTACGGTTACAAATATTGCCTCAATATGCATTTATTTTTCTTAAGCACTATAATGCACACCACGCATTGTGCTATACAACTGGCATAGAGTTATTGCGTGACTGGTGCTTTCCTACATTATAAGCTCGGTTAACTCTTACTAATAAAAATTTGTATATTTTGCAGGTTCGATGTGGATCTTATGCGCTTTCGCGGTGTTTTTGTTTACATTTGCTAGCTAGTGCGCGATTGTGATTTCAAGTAAATTTTCAGTAATGCCCCACATTTATAGTGTGTCAAATAATTTTTGACAGCATGCCAGTATTTTGTAAGGGAGGCGATAGATCAAATGTGCTATTTTTATCGAGACCTAATTAAAAAAGCCGGTGTGCTTATAATAAATAGAAAATAAGTGTCACGCTAAAAACAAATTACTTAATCAAATTAATCAAGTGACTAACGAATTTCAATCAAGTCAAGACAACCTACATACTTGTATATAATATAATATATATTTTTGAAAGCATCCGCTTACTACGAAACCGTATTTGTGTTGTTTTACTAAGCCGTATTTGCGATGTGTGTGTTTGCTTTTGTCACAATTGATCGCATTTTTAATTGCAGCCATAACTTGCCAACATAAATTCAATTAAACTTACTAATTGTTCCGTTCGCTGAACATTTGTTGAAGTGAATATGTATGAGCTAGACGAAAGATAATTGGAAGTGTCACGCTACTTTATGAAAAAGGTCAATTACAAATAAAAAAAAATCTACATACCTAACTACATATGTACATATGTTATTGTTTGAACATTTGTGTTTAGCTGGTGCAAATTTTGTGAAAATTGAAAAAAAGTAAAGTGCCTAAAAAATGTATGCGAAACGCCCACCTATCAAAGAGTTCCATCTCAAACGTAAAGTAAAATACTGGCGGGAGCCGAATTTAGTGGGCCTGCCTTGTGTTGTGGGTAAAAAATGTGTTGATATAGGTACTCCAATGTATGTGACATTTTTTATATTGCTTTGCGCCAGTCGTTTCGATCTTGCCAAAGCGCGGGCGGCAAATACGTACCCTGTTGCCGCAACAGATATAGGCACGACGCTTACAGCAACAACTTCACATGCGAATCACAAGCAACATCATCGTAGTACACTGCAATATGCACACAACAATTTCACCTATCTGCAAGAAAGAAGTGCTGCGGATTTTATTGCGGAGAAGGGTGACGCTAGTGCTGGTAACAGTATGCCAGATGTTGCGGTAACTTTGCCGGCGCGTTCACCAGATGCCAGAACAAATGCAGGTGAGTTTGATTGAATTTTATTATTATTTAAATTACAGTATTCAGAACTTTATTAGAACATTTGCAGTTAAGTTTGTGATAAAAATACAGGTGTTATCAAAATATCAAAAAAATAAATTATAACAATAGTGGTTTGAGATTAATACCGAAACATAATAATATTAAAATTGGCTGATGTGGAGTTAATTACGAATGTCAATGTAAAATTACAATACATATTAATATTCCCCCTTTATAAATTACTCGAAAAGTGTTAATTCATGGTATTCTCCAAAGTGCAAGCAGCATTAACGCTATATATAATTATGTTTATGCGCTTACACATGCATGGAAGCAAGTGCATTACTAAAATAAACAAACAGTAACAATTGTGCGGTGCATCCAAGGCAAGCAGATGTAATGCCTCAATTCAATCATGTTGCGGCTACTCATGTATAAACATGGATTGCAGCAAGTAATCTTTCGCTATTCAGTTTTATTTTTTCACACTTTTCAAACAAAACGCAACTGGGCAACAACAACAAATACTACAACGCAACACAGGAAAAGCACTGGAATAATTGCTTTGTCATTTACATTAAAATCGTGATGTGATCACGGCGATAATACCAGCCAATAGCCCCATGAACTGCAGCAACGCGTAGTCGTAAATATCAAATCAAAATTGACAGGAAGGCAGAAGGACATGTAAAATTTTGTATGTACATATGTACTAACATATATGTATTTTTATGTATATGCTACATATTCAAAATAAGTAAATGTTATTGATTTTATTTAAAAATGTGCACTCATGTGCATGCTGGGTTGCACTGCTAACCGTAACTTCGCCTTTCTTCAACAAATATTGAATGCAACACTTACCTTTTTTTGTGAGTTTTGGAGTGATGTTGAGCTGCATTAATTCACTCTTATAAATATATCTGTATATAATATATAAAGATATATTCAATGTTCTGACCGCCACTCATCGTATCGCGCAACACTTGTCGGTCGTTTTGCCATACAACAATATACAAACAAACATATTTACAGACGTGTTTGCTTTGATTTCCTGGCTGCTCCAATATTATTAATATCATGGCTTTTGTTTCGGTAATTTAATACCTTTTTCTTTAAGTTGTTTGGTTTGAAAAACAGACAAAAAAGAAAGCAGAATTAAAAAAAAAAGAAAATATTGTGTATGTACGACGGAATCGCACTAAACCTCAGCTGTTTTGTAGCACACAAATATAGCTCATTATATTTCAATAAGCAATACCCAAACAAGGTACCAACCAAGTCGGGCAAGACGAAGCAAGGAAAACGGACAAGTCGAAGAAGACTGAGAACAGTACAAATACAGTGTTGAGTTATGAAAACACTTGAAATTATGTGTACACAATGCCTTGTGGGAAATTCTATCTGTCCCGCTGTTAGGAAATGTCTGTTTCTAAATATTACTTTTGTAATATTTGTAGAGTAAAGTGCATTAATAATAGTTACCTCTGTAAAATATAAATTTTCGTAGTATGAAACATTTCTGAAGTAATTACGAGGAATGTTGTCGAGTTGACAGGCCTTGACTGGATAAAAATTCGGATCCGTTCCGGTTACTTAGACCCTACTGCCGTGTGAGCGTAATTTTCGATTTATGTTCGTTGTTGCTGCAATAGAAAAATAACTTTCCCGGGTAGTTTTAAGAATTGTGGCTGTGGTGACAGCACTTAACCCGATGTAAACTCGGTTTGAATTCGGTTATAGAAATTCGATTTTTACCAGAATGGTTTGCTGGAGCGAATTGAATATCTATTCAAACATAATTTTTTCTTGTAGTTTTTTTTCGGGCACTTCGAAACACTGCGGCGTGTTTAGTGTTCCAAAATACAATTCCTGCTGGGTACTGCTATAGATATACCCGTTAAAACATATGCATATCCAATCATGCATATAATACACAAAATAAGAAGTGGCGCTGACAGCATACGCTTGTGTTGTGCCTAAGAGGGGGTCATGAATAAACGAATACCCCCGTACTTTGAGTACATCCGTTGCAAAGAATGGTCTACCAATAGCTTGCACTGATTTTTTGGGCTCATTAAACGTTTTGTGACAAAATCCAAGTGTACACTTCCTTCTTCAGCGCCGGCTAAATAGAGTCTTATCTTGTCTTCGCAAACAATATGGATTTTTTTTGTTTTTTATAGAACGTACAGGTTTTTTCCTGCGAAGCTATAAAATAAACGCCAGGCTTGGTGTGCGACACATACATGCATGTTAGGGGTGTTCTAAGATATTGAAATACAATAATTGTAGTGAAATACTTTTTTTATAACTGATACAACTCTGGGTGGGTGCTAAATTTAAAGTATTAAAAACAAACATTTTTTCAAAAGTTTTTTTATTTATATAAAGTAGAATAGTAATTAAAATATTATTAAACATAATTTTTTGTAGTAAACTATATCTTTACGTCCAATTATCTGTGATTCTGTCCGAATTCTATCCCATCCTACTCAAAAGTAAAGTTTAGAAAGTATTACAACTAGAAATTTAAAAAGTGTATCACCCTAATGCATGCTGTGGACTCTTTGAGCAGCAGTGAAAGGTTTAAAATACAGCGTCGCGTCACTTAAGATAATTTATAGTTCATATTTACTTACACATGTACACACATACACACTGACTGACATCTGCACTGGTGGCGTTGCATGTACACACCAAACGCAGTGCCATTCACGCCGATGTTTACCAGCAAATTATAGCATGCTCGTGCACTTGCATTCATAACTACATCTGAGTTGTGAGAAAGCCTTTCTCAAATATTTAAACACCTTTTGTTAATATGGCTAAGCCGTTTAAGACCTAATTATGCCTTTGCGGCTCGAATGAAAGTGCGATAAGCTGTTAAATACCAAAATACGTGCTTACATACATAAATCCGTTACTGTTTACACATGCACTTCTACTGAAATGAGTCAGAAAAAGGTAAACAGCACAGAGTGTTTCAAAAAAATCTAAAAATCCTCTAAAGTCATTATTACCTAAAGCCGTTACATAATTAGTGAATGGTTATTCGTTGTTTTTGTTGCAATTACGATTTTGACTTAAGCAAGACAAAATGCGCAATAGAGAATGTACAAATTTGCAATTAAAAAAAATATATTTAATGTTAATATAAAAAAATGCATAAACCGTAAACTATTGGCGATCATAGATCTTTAAACTATCTATTCGCCATATAGATCGAACCTTATATACTTTTGCGCAATATACAAATAACACAAGAGAAAACGTTAACTTCGGCTGCACCGAAGCTATAACACTTGTTTGGCAGCAATATGCTATAGTGGTCCGATCTAAACAGTTTCTTCGGAGATTGCACCGTGCCTAGATTTATGTATGTAATTTAGCGTGGTTGTGTAAATATGCGATAATATTATAATTTATATATATAAATGATGAGGATGACAAGACGAGTTGAATTCTGAGTGACTGTCTGTCCATCCGTCTGACTGTGCAAGCTGTAATTTGAGTAAAAATTGAGATATCGTCATGAAACTTAGTAAAGGTGTTCCTTAGCAAAAAAATGAAGATCATTTTGTATATGGGCGTAATAGGACCACTGTCACACCTATAAAACGCCATTAATCAAAAACCTATAAATCGACATAACTAAGCCGCAAATTAAAATACAAAACTGTAAATTAGTACTACGAATCGCAATAACGTGGAGCACCTGTAGGTTAAATGTATATATCTCCCAACCCATTCAAGCTATATCACCAAAATTTGCTCAGGATAAACAATTTTGAAACCTTTTGCGACAGCGTGAGAGTAAAAAATGGGTAAAATCGGATGATAACCACGCATACTCTCCGTATATCGGTTTTGTTAAAAACGTCAGAAACATTTAATTTTACATCCAAGACTTTATAGGAGCAGGTGTTGATTTAGGTGAAATCACATATCTCCGGACCTACTCCAGCAATTGCAACCAAATTTGGTACCTAGGACTCTTTTGACCTTTCCATGTTACTGGCGATATCAGACTGAAACCACGCTTACCTCCCACATAACACAACTTTAGATTTCATCTAATAATTTTACTTTCCAGTATACAAATTAAGCACCAATTAATGTATATACATGTATGTATATATTGCCTTTATGGTATGCCATCAGGTCTAAAAATTGTCAAAATCGAACCATAACTATTCAAGCCCCCAGATACTGGAAATGTGGACCCAGAGCCTATGGCTGACTCTCTGCCGAGAGAATCCTTTCCTCATAGTAATATGTTTGTATGTCAAAAATTGGTTAAATCGTGGTCAGTATTTCTCTTAGACCCCATATACCTAATAGAAAGGTTTTCGAACTTCCGGCTGACTTTATATCCCATATATCGGCCAATATGTGAGTTATCTGGTATGTGAGGTACCAGAATGAAACTTAGAGGCCGTCTGTTTCTATTAATATTATGTAGTAATGCCAAAAATAGATAAAATCGGGCCAATACTACACCTTCCTCCAAAATATCTCAAATTATATTTTTTCAATCTTCCGGCTGGCTTTATATCGTATATATCGTATATGTAACTTACCAAATTAACTGAACGTATAATATTGAATACACATTAGTTTGATGCCGACATATATTATTTATATTATACTACGTACATAGCTCAATATATTAAATTTAACCTCTTCGGTTAAGTTTATGTCAGATATATCTCATTTGAGGATGATTTTAATATAATTTTGACTGATGGGAAGTAAAATATAGTTATAAAACTAATTTGACGATTTCGTCGAGTAAGGAATGCTAAATTCTTTCGCAACATTTTCAATATGAAGTTTTGCCAACACCTGAAGGTTTTTCCTCGGCTTTGATCCTTGCAAGGTACAAGAGTATGAAATGTTAGCTTACACTCGAACTTAACCCCTCCTTACTTGTTTGTGAGTGCTTTTATTTATAGAGATGAATTTTATAGCAGTGAGAATAATAAAATGTCTGTTAG